TGGGCCTCCAGCCCGTCTCCCCGGCTTCCCAGGGCTGTGATGGCACCTCCACCAGCTGCTGCCAGCATCAGAGATGGTGGGGAACGGGATGGGGTCTCTCTCATCCCCATCCTTTGCGGGTGAGGGGCAGCAGGTGCCCCTTGCTGTGCGGGGAGCCAGCACTCACGGCGTGAGGACACGGGGTCTGCAGCCCCCCGCACGCACACAGGGACGGCAGGAGCGAGGGCTACGAGGCAAAACTGCACAGGGGAAGAGAAATGCCACCATGGGATGCAGCCGGAGGGACCTGGCTTTCTTCTCATGGGCAGCCTGGCACAGGTCAGCCAGCAGGCTGCAGCGCAGGGATGGCATCACGGAGAACCACGAGGGCAAGACACGGGAGAAGCAGCACGGTCTGCCCTTCCCTCTGCTGCGTCCGCAGAGACCCACGTGGCTCTGACGGGGCTGCGCTGCTCCTGCTGCCCTGGCAGCATGCCCAGGCAGCTCCAAAAGGGATCAGCGTCCCCTAAAAACGGCCTCCGACACAAGACAACTCCTACAGTGCGGGCACTTGGTGGGCACTGGAGGAGCCAAAGGCTGGGAAGGATGTACCAGTGTTCCCCAAGTGGTCACAACTGCCCCAGGGCATCAGTGCTCAGCTCCTGCTTCCAGCAGCACTGAAATGGAACAAAGAGGGTGCGATAAACCACACAGCCGGTGGAAAAGCCTCACAAAGTTGAGTCTGGGCCTGAAACACACTCCCCTCCCAGTTTTGGCCATGCCTGCAGGCCCGTGCAGCTGAGACCTCCCTTTCAACCATGAACCATCCTGTCCCATGGGAGTGCCCCCAGTAGGAGAGCAGAGTCACGCAGAAAGGACCCTCCCCACCAAGGTTCACCCAGACACCAGCTGAGCCGAGGTCTTGGCCCACAAAAGAAGCTCAGCTGATGGACCAAACAGATCCATTCGGACCATGTCCCAGAGGTGACACCAGACCACTTCTGACTACCCACAGCCTGGCCAAAAACCTGCGGGGTTTGGTCAAGACGAGGACATGGGCTGCAGAACTGCTGCTCGGCCCCCTCCCCGCGTGCGTGGGCGACACCGGGAACGCCCAGCAAAGACCCGTTCTCTGCTCAGGGTGTTCCGTCCTCCCGGAGACAGCCTGAACACGGGCCTGGGGAGGGATTCCCGGAGCGAGGAAGCTGGGGAGCTGCTGTCCCTGGAAGAGATTGCTGAGCAGGCTGGCTGCCACGTTTGTGTTCCAAACGTCCTCAGCAGGGCACCTGACCCGCTCCTCACACCGGAGAAGACAAGGTAAAGGGAGAAGATTCGAGGCACTGGCAAGACGGCTCTCCAGTGGAGCCCCAAGGCTGCACAGGAAGAGTTCCCTGTTTTAAGGGGATAAATATTTGCCTCAGCTGCTTTTTGTGTCCCATAAAATATATCGGGGGAAAAAAAGCAGCAATATTCACACCCTAGGCTGCGTCTTCAGTTCACTGTGACCAACTGGGGTGCTCCTTCAAGGGTGTCACCCGATAAGCTCTTCGAGCTCTTAGCCCTGCCCAGGCATGCCTGCTTCCCACGCTGGGCAGAGACCCGTGCCAGTCACCCAGGCAGGACAGCACAGCCCCTCGCAGTCTGGCTTTCCACTTGTCCACCTTATGCCACCACCAAGAGATGGGAGGAACACGCTTTTAACAGACATTTTCCTGGAGTTCCTAGAGGCTTTTATTTACAGAAGGTGTTTCCCAGAGACTAGAGCTTCTTGGTTTCTGTCTGGTGCTGTACCGGCTTCTCTAGTCGGTGAAATAAGACGCCGGTGTCAGGTCCAAGCTGTCTCCCTTCAAAGGGACACGGCTTCCCGTCGTAGCGTGGCAGAAATGTCAAACTCGAGAGACCTCTCTCTTCTGGCTCAACAGCCAGCCTGGCAAGCAGCTTCTCTGCAGTGTGTGGGATCACGGGTTGCAGGAGAGTCCCATAGACACGCAGGCATTCCAGCGTAACGTGGATGATGGTGTCAAGCCAGAGCTGCTCTGCAGGGTCTTTTCGGTCGAGTTTCCACGGCCTGTGTCTCTGGAAGAAACCGTTGGTCTGCCTTACGCACAGCGCAATACATTCCAACGCCTTGTAGATCTGGAAATCCTCAAAATAACCAGCCACCTGCAGAGGCAGAGACGCCACAGACGCCACGAACTCATAGTCCTCAGCAGAAGCCCTGCCCGTGCCTTTCCCCTCCCTGTAGTCCAGCACCTTGGGAAAACAAGACTCTGAGAAACGCGGGTAGGTGTTGCTGGGGTTAATGCTGAGGGCTGTGGAGCGG